TCCCTCCACTGGCCTCCACTCAGTGTCCTCCACCCCCCTTTGCCAATCCCTCCACTGGCCTCCACTCAGTGTCCTCCACCCCTCTCTGCCAATCCCTTCACTGCCCTCCACTCAGTGTCCTCCACCCCTCTCTGCCAATCCCTCCACTGGCCTCCACTCAGTGTCCTCCACCCCTCTCTGCCAATCCCTCCACTGGCCTCCACTCAGTGTCCTCCACCCCTCTCTGCCAATCCCTCCACTGGCTTCCGATTGCGCAACGGATCAAATTCAAAATCCTAACACTGACGTACAAAGCCGTCCACCATACTGCCCCGAACTACATCACTGACCTAATATCCAAGTAACACCCAACACGCACACTCCACTCCTCACAAGACCTCCTCCTCTCTAGTTCCCTGGTCTCCTTCTCCCATGCCCGCCTCCAGGACTTCTCCAGGGTGTCACCCATCCTCTGGAACTCCCTGCCCCAACCCATCAGATTATCACCTACTCTCCTCTCCTTTAGGTGCACCCTGAAAACCCACCTCTTCAGGGAAGCCTACCCCACCCCCTGCTAACCTGCCGACCTCCTCCACTCTTCCTACCACCCCATCCCCCACAGATATCTCCTCCTGTGCCACCATCCCCTCCCTCCTAGATTGTAAGCTCCAAGGAGCAGGGCCCTCAATCCCCTCATGTTTTGCACTGTATTGGTATTGTTCTGTCACATGTTCTGTCCCCCTCTGTAATGTACAGCGCTGAGCGAACTATTGGCGCTTTATAAATTCTGTATAATAATAATAATAATAATTCCACCTTCTCCCTTGACTTCTATGTATTTTACCAAAATAACAAAATTTTGCCAAAATATTCTTTTAAAAGAAAACTCTAGATTTCTCTCATTATCAATTAGGAGTAAGTTTTTATTGTGGACTCAAACTACAGATTGATTTTCCACCGATTCACCGATTACCACCGATATCTGGCAACTCAAATGCATGTGTGTCTTCTGAGTTCGTGACACAAATATAAGTAAGGGCAGGATAAGGATGACAACTTTTTCACGTGTAACTTAGCAATGTTATCTCCTATAAATCTATCCTGAGAGGCTTCCTTTCACTACTGACCTAAATATTAAAGCCAATGGTGATCGTTTTGTGGTCCAAGAACAGGTCCAGAGTGGCTTAATGGAGTTTCATAAACCCTTGGGAGCCATTAAAGCTCACAGCGCCCTTTATCACCACCAACAACCAGCCTAATTCCACCTTCGCCCTTGACTTCTACCTATTTTACCGAAATGACATTTTGCCAAAAATTTTTCTGTAAAAGAAAACTCTAGATTTCTCTCATTATCAATTTGGAGTAAGTTTTTATTGTGGACTCAATAAACTACAGATTGATTTTCCACTGATTCACCGATTTCCACCGATGTCTGGCAACTCAAATGCATGTGTGTCTTCTGAGTTAGTGACACAAATATAAGGGCAGGATAAGGATGACAACTTTTACGCGTGTAACCTAGCAATGTTATCTCCTATAAATCTATCCTGAGAGGCTTCCTTTCACTACTGACCTAAATATTAAAGCTAATGGTGGCCATTTTTTGGTCCAAGAACAAAGTCAAGAGAGTGGTTTTAATGGATATTCCAAAACCGTTGAGAGCCATTAAAGCTCACAGCGCCCTTTATTACCACCAACAACCAGCCCAATTCCACCTTCTCCCTTGACTTCTATGTATTTTACTAAAATGACCAAAGTTTGCCAAAATGTTCTTGAAAAAGAAAACTCTAAATTTCAATCGTTATCAATTAGGAGTAAGTTCTTATTTTGGTCTCAGGTGACTGCAGAATGATTTTTCGCTAATTCATATGAGGTGTCTGACAACTTGACTAAAAAAAAGAAGTAGAGGAATCTACTCAGAGTAGAGTCATAGGAGCTGACATTGCTGGATTGTACTCTTAGAGTAGACACTGCAAGACATCTACAAGAAGCTTTATCAGCAACCGGATCCTCTTTTGGGTGTGCCACAACCATAGGTGCATGTTGTATGGAGGCTTTAACTTCTGCTCCAAGTTGGAGCTCTGCTTCACCGCCGACCAGTGTGAGGCCAGTAACGTGTTCTCTAATACTGGTTTCTACACGCGGCAATTTTCTAGCAATTTCAACCATTGCAAATGAAAAAGATATAGAATCAAAAGAATCAAAAAAAAATTTATCACAAACAGTTTAAAAGATTTCACATCTTCAATGGTGACTGTTGGTGGTAAGTTGCCTTGATTCTTATGTTTTAATTTTGCAAAATTAGTTTTGATGAAAGTAGTTAAAATATCTATAAAAGTACTGTAGCCTAAAGCTGATTAGAGGAGGATCTGAATGATAATGGAGGAGCCTGCAGGTAACTTGCGACATTAAAGGACTGGATATTGGATATCCAGTTTTGAATAAATGGCTCTATAATATTGGGAGGAATGGAAGCGAGTCACATGATCCCTATACCCAGTAGTACCAGGCAGACGAGTGGTGATGGGGTGTGAAGGTATTGCTGGTGGGCTTGGCATGAAAGTGAACCAGTTGCTTTCTCCTGCAAGGTTGAGCACAATTTTACATAAATGTAAATAATAGAGATTATATTTAAAGCAGCCACAGCATGGTCTATGTCTCACCATATGGAAAAAAAAAAGGAGAAGGATATTTGCAAATAATAACAATTTGTAATTCTGGACATTGTGTGTAGACTATCATGGGAAAGTAGGGTTTAATGCAGAGACATCCTTTAACAGTGATACAGGAAGCAATATCTGAACCCATCTCCTCATTGAGATATTAGATCTTGCCAGGGAACATGACACACCGTACCAACCATGCATGGGCATTGTCAGGCCTTGACACCTGGGGCACTGGACCTAAGTCTCAGACCTGCCGCTATTATTGGACATAGGTCTTCAGCCAAGTGCCTCAGGTCTCCAACCTATATCTACAACTGGACATAGGTCTTTAGCCAAGTGCCCCGGGTTTTAAACCTGCATCTGCTACTAGACCTAGGTCTATAGCCAAGTGATCCAGGTCTCATTCCTGCATCTAATACTGGACCTAGATCTTCAGTCATGTGCCCTAGGTCTCCAACCTGCATCTACTACTGTACTTAGGTCTACAGCCAAGTGCACCAGGTCTCAGACCTGCATCTTCTACTGGACCTAGGTCTACAACCAAGTGCACCAGGTCTCAGACCTGCATCTTCTAATGGACCTAGGTCTACAACCAAGTGCACCAGGTCTCAGACCTGCATCTTCTAATGGACCTAGGTCTGTAACCAAGTGCAAAGCAAAGGTAGGGCATCCCCTGCCTTGTTTAGAGCCGCACAACCTTTGATGCTTTGGTGGTGAACTTCTTCAAGTTCCGGGTCCATCTATACACCCTTTTTCTGGGTCATAGAGCGCCGGAGGTATTGTTTTTTGTCTACAACCAACTGCACCAGGTCTTAGACCCACATCTTCTACTAGACCTAGGTCTACAACTAAGTGCACCAGGTCTCAGACGTGCATCTTCTACTGGACATAGGTCTTTAGTCAAGTGCCTCGGGTCTCAGACCTGCATCTACTACTGGACTTCAGCCACATGCCCTGAGTCTCCAACCTGCATCTGCTACCTAGGTGGACTGTGTCTAGGGTAGAATAGCTTCAAAGACAGAATCTGTTCTGCCTCTATTGTTGGTCAGAAATTGTATTAGATATTTCCTGCCTGGTACCATAGACCTTACAGCAGGCAGGAAGGTTGTCTTTCTACTTGGGGAAGTAATTATGTCCATGTGCTGCACTGATGACCAACAAGTGCTCAGTCTGGAATAAAGGACCCTATATTAGGCTGTATGTGTGCTGTACCCTAGATGTTCTGAATATGTAGTTAGCCAAGGTAATAAAGAAAAGATTTTCATGGCCTCACCCATTATCCTATAATGAGGATTAGTCCGTTTTTGGGGTAAGTGAATGTGAAACACACTGTTTCAGTGGAAGCTTTTTGGTTCCTTTTGGCCTAGTTTACTAGAAGCTGTTGGGTAATACCTTCAACCTAGGGTAAGAAGTTCCTAAAGCAACATAGACTGTGGCAGAGGAAGGAGGACAGGGAACAGAGAGAAAGAGAATAGATGATGAAAACAGACATGAACACTATTCACTGTGGCAATATGCAACTTTTCACTCTCTATGGGGGTGACCTTTTGGAACCCTAACAGTGGCCCTGGCTCAGTGTAAATTTGGCATTAAGTCACCATTAACACTCACTTTGTCTAAAGATCTTATTGCCTCTTTGGTGATGCGTTCTTGCTTTGAGGTGAACAAGATCTCATGTGGCCCAGGACGCTAATGTAAATGCCCTTTGGCATGGTCTCCAATAATGGTTACGGTTTTGGCCATGCAGAAGAAAGCATGGGTTATATTCTGTGAACCAAGTAGACTTTGTTTCTTTTCTTTTTTTTTATTTGGCAACTTTGTCTTTTGGATATACATCTTGTAGTTCTCTTCTTGCTTCCATAACAGTCAGCCTAGAGGTATTGCATAGTAGTTATACCACTGCTGTGTTTTCTTTGATAAAGTATTAAGTGCATGCAATTCTGTTGGTATTCATGAACATTAAAGGCGCGGTCCCATAGAAAATAACATAAGGGTTTGTATCTCGGGTACTAAAACTCTGCGCATGCGGGCGTTCTTGTCCACGTCCTTCGCTAAAATTGCCAGCGTCACAGTACTTTGCGGCAGTCATTAATGGCCGTAGGCTCATCCACTGGCCATTGTGAGCTCTCATTGGCCTTTCCAGAAAAACAGAGGGAATTCTCCAGCCCAACTGCACATGTATTCTTTCCAGAATGACGGGTGCATGACCAAGTTTCCAGCCAAAGGCCCATGCCATCTACATGCCAAGCCTTCTTTGGGCAGGGCTTGTCTTTTCCCCCAAAGAAAAAGTTCAATGGCTCTTCTACCTCGAAGTGTCTGTGGGGGCTGCTTGACCATGACACCGGTACCTTGGATTTAGGCTGTTTCAAGGGTCATTGCATATTCAGCTCGGGTGTGGTACCATTTTCTTCCTTGTGGAGTGGTTTCCTGCAAGAACCAAAGAGATAAACCTGTCAGTTTTATACCATAAAGAGTCACGTGCTTATAAAGAAAGAAGAGTCAATTTAGTATTTTTGTACGTAGTTGCTTTAAGGGGTGGAAATCCCCAGTCCCCCTTCTAAGGTCATCATAAAATAACATCACCATGATTTAGCTGTGACCTCTTTTATCACTTTGATAGGAGAGAGAGATAAAAAAGAGGAGAGGAATTAAATAGAAAATGGAAAGGAGGGTGGGAAATAGAAAGAGAGAGTATGTGGGTGACCTTCAGTTTCTGTCACCACCTGGAAGAGGTCTATGAGACAGCCTGGAAGTGCTGGAGAAATTCATTGTGACACGGGCACTACCCTTCAGCCCAAAAAACTAAATTTATGGTGTTTCAAGGACAGGGCACAAAGCAAATCAAAGAGTTCTTCCTTTATAGGAAACAACTGCACTCTTGATCATTTTACATTCTTTCTTTGGAACACCATGAAGTTTGTTTTCTTTGGGTTGATAGGTAATGCCCATATTGCACTGCCAGGCTCTTTTGCAGGTTTATTCCTGTTGGAGACAGAAAAAGGCCTACAGCTATGAATCCATCAGCTATGCATATCTTGGCCTAGAAAGTACCCAATCTGGAAACTTCAAGCCAGCCATAGAAGCCCTGAAAGACATGCAGAACCTTCTACACCATTAGGGGATAACTGTGCCACCTAAAACCACCAGCTGGAGTCTGGCTTAATATCTTTCACCTTATTCCTCCTTTATGGCAGTGACTTATGGGGTTCCATCACCTACCCAGACCAATCTATGGGGGACTCCAGCCCAACAGAAATGTTCCATCTGGAATTCTTTAAAGGGTTTGTTCTTTTTTTTCAAAAAACAAAACCGAAAAAAAACCTTGCATGCAGGTAAGGGGCACCTGTAGATGAAAACCAACTGTGCTGCTTTTATTAAAGTTGAATACTGACCCCGCTGTAGTTGTAGGCCATTTATGTACCTCCCAGAGCCTGGCCAAAAAACTCCTAGAGATGGTGTCACCCCATTTTACCTTGTTGCTAGGACAGTTCCCATGCATGCTCCCTCTTCCCTGTCAGAGTAGCTCTGAGCTCAGCACTGCTATGACGGAGGAGACAGCAAACTGGGCATACACTGCGATTTGAATCAGAGAGAGCTCACCCCTGAAATAGTGGGTGTGAGCAGTAACAGGAGGGATCCCCTTAGCAATGTCCTAGCAACAGGGCAGGATGGGCAGATGCCATCTATCAGAGTTTTCCAGGCAGGCTTCAGGTAGTACACTGGTAATGGCCTATACCTACAGTTGGGGCATTATGCAAATTTAATCAAAGTGACACAGCTGGCTCTCATTTACTGGCACCACTTACCTACGTAGGCAGTCTTTTGGGAAAGGTGAACTAACCCTTTAAGTGCCTCCTCCCACCTGCTCCCATCTCGGAGCATCATTGCCCTCTAAGATGGGCAGATTCCCTTTAATGTTTGCAATACAGAAGAGGGCACAATCATAATACCAAGGGAAGGAAAGGGAAGGGAAAGGATACAGAAGATGGTAGGGTCATGTTAGGACTGCCTACAAAAGGAAGGAAGGATGGAAAGAAGGACAGAAAGAAGGGAGGGGAGGAGGGGAGGGTGAAAGGGCAGAAGGAAGGGAGGAAGGAGAATAAGAAAGAAGAAAAGAAACAAGGAAGAGAAGAGGAGAGAATGGAAAGGAAGGCTGGATCAAAGGACAAGAGGGATGGAGGAAGGGAAGGGAAGGAAGGATGATCAAAGGAAAAGAGGGAAGACAGAAGGAAGTCAGGAAGGGAAGAAGGAAAGAAGGACGTTAGGAAGAGAAAGAAAGAGAAGAGAAAGGATGGTCAAAGGAAAAGAGGGATGGAGGAAGGGAGAAGGAAGGAAGGAGGAAGGGAAGAAGGAAGGAAGTTAGGAAGGAAGGAAGGAAGTTAGGAAGGAAGGAAGGAAGGCAGAAAGAGAAGAGATGGTCAAAGGAAAAGAGGAAGGAAAATGAAAGGAAAGAGGGAAGGAAGGAAGTTAGGAAGAGGAAGGAAGAGAGGAAGAAAAGTAGGGAGGAAGGAAAGGAGGTAGAAAGAAAGGGAAACATGAAGGAAGGGAGTAAGGAGAATCAGAAATATCAAAGGAAAAGCAGGATGGAGGAAAGGAATGAAGGAGGGATGATCAAAGGAAAAGAGTGAAGAAGAAAGAAAGAAAGAAAGAGAGAGAGAGAGAAAAAGAAAGAAAGAAAGAAAGAAAGGTCAAAGGAAAAGAGGGATGAAGGAAGGAAGGAAGGAAGGGAAGGAAGGAATGAAGGAAGGGAAGGAAGGAAGGAAGGAAGGAAGGAAGGAAGGAAGGAAGGAAGGAAGGAAGGGAAGGAGGTTAAGAAGGAAGGAAGGAAGGAAGGGAGGGAGGAAGAGAAGAGAAGGTAAAAGGAAAAGAGGATGGAGGAAGGAAAAAGGAAGGAAGGGGAGAAGGAAGGAAGGAAGTTAGGAAGAGAAGAGGAAAGAAGGGAGGAAGAAAAGTAGGGAGGAAGGAAGGGAAACATGAAGGAAGGGAGGGAGGAAGGAAAGAAGGAAGGAAGGATGCTAGGAGAGAGAAAGGAAGGAAGGAAAGAAGGGAGGAGGTAAGAAAGGGCAAATAAAAGTAGAAAACAAAAGACCTGCAATGTAAATGAGAATATCATTCCATAACTGCCAGTAAGAAAAGACAGAAAGTTTCCGCTCTGACCTGTGACATGACAGCATCCGCTCCTACTAATGGGCTGATTTGATAATCAGCCGGCTCTTAAACGCCTCCCGCAGCGAGAGGCAGCAATTAGCGCAGTGTAGTGGCAGTAAACAATCAATTCTGTTCAGCTGCTGTTCTTCGCAATTATATCACTACGGGAGGAATCTGAGGCTTCCAACACACAATTGTGCCTGATTCAGCCATGGGGGGGGGGGGGGGGGGCTCTGCAGTGAGATAACCAGGAGGTCATATCATTTAGGAGGCCTACAGTTGGATGCAGGAAGAACTGAAGACAAACAATGTATTTTCCTGCAAATGTAAGAGAGACTTTGCCCCTGTTCAGTTGGGTATCTATATTCCCATAGTGGGAGCAATGGTTTGCATACTAGAGATTCACCGAGGTGCAATAACTTTAGTGACTAGAAGTGTTTAGGCAGCTTCTGGGTTCCCAAGAGGACCTGTCATGCTTATAAATAGAGTGTTACCGCCACAGTCTAACCGCTTTCTCGCCGCCCTATAGCAGAAATACTGCTACAGGGCTGAAAGTGTGCGCAAAATCACATATATATTTATATATATATAGATATATATACGTAATTTAGCATTTCCAGGTAGGGGTTGCGCGCCGCCATTCCCGGCCTCGGCTGTCAATCACCGGATCCCGCCGGTGATTACCCGCCGGCACCCAGTGATCGCCAAGTATTACCGGCAGGGGAGAGAACTGTATGTAAACAATACAGTTCTCTCCCCTGTCAGCTCCTGCACACTGCTTTGTATGGCTCTGCATAGTAGTGTGCTTACAGTGGAAAGCACAGCCACAGCCTCATAGTAAAACACACACAGTTAACCCTTTGATCGCCCCTCACATTAACCCCTTCCTGCCCAGTGTCATTAGTACAGTGTCATTGGTTTTTATTAGCACTGATCACTGTATTAGTGTCACTGGGGATGTCAGTGACACCAAGTCAGTCCCCCCCCCAGTGACAGAATGCCCGCCGCAGTCCCACTATAAGTCGCTATTTGTCGCCATTACTAGTAAAAAATAAAAAACAAAGATTCCAGTATCTATACCACCATTTGTAAACGCTATAATTTTCATGTACACCAATTAATTTACAAGTACTGGGATTTTTTTAGCGAAGACACGGAGCAGAATACATTTTTGGCCTAAATTTATAATGAAATTCGATTTTTTATATTTTTGTTATTGGACACGTTTAGTAGCAAAAAGTCAAAAATATTGTTTTTTTTCTCCAAATTGACAATCTTTTTTTGTTTATAGCGAAAAAAATAAACGCACAGGTGATCAAATACCACAGATAGAAAGCTCTATTTCTGGGAAGAAAAGGACATAAATGTCATTTGGGTGCAGCGTTGCATGACCGCGCAATTGCTAGTTGTAAGAAACGCAGCGCCATAACGCAAAAAATGGCCTGGTCAGGAAGGAGGGGAAATCCTCCGGAGGGCGAAGGGTTAACGAAAGCTGCATGAAGATACAAGAACTCGGCTCCACTCTGGAAGGACGGCAAACAAATCAACATTTGATTTTTTCCTTTGCTATGACGTCTGATTCCCACTAATATGCTGCTTCTACTCTTCCTTCTCACGCTAGTGTTCTCTGCGCTCAAATTGTCCTTACTTTACCCCTCGTCTCCACCCCACGGCTCCTACATATCACCCTCACTCCTACCCGCTCCCTTTTAGGCTTGGTTCACATATGTGCGGGTGCTGCCGCTGCGGACCCGTAGGGGGGGTCCATTAATTCTAATGCCACGCCGCCCGCACTGGAAATCGCAACCGTACTGGGAACCGAGGTTCCTCTGTGGGCTGAGTTTTCTGAAGAAGTTAAGGGACTTCTTCCCTGCGTGTTCAGGGGCACGGGAGTCCATTCAAATGAATGCGGACCGCAGGAATGCAGAGCTGTGAACCAGGGGTTACTGCACCCACAGGGGTGGACTGACCATTTGGGAACTCGGGCACTGCCCGAGGGCCCAGGGTCAGAAGGGGGCCCCATGAGATGTCCTTGGTACCTTTTTCATAGGCTTTTTTGGGTGTGGTTTGAGTGTGGGCAAGGACACAGGTGCCCCATGGTCCCCTATTGCCCGGGGGCCCCATGAGTTGTCAGTCCGCCCCTGTGCACCCATCACCTCTTTCAAATATTGAACCCGCATGCTGACACAAACACAGTGATTATGTGCGCTCATATACAGTACATCCCGCTCCCATCTTACTTTCCTCACCCTCCTCCTTCTCCTAATCTCTAGGTACAT